TGCCTGGAGCTGCGGTTAGATGCTTGGCTCGGGTGACGGGATCCGCCTCAGTCTCTGCAAGAGCAGTGTGAGCTGCTAACCACTCGCCCTCTCTAGCCTCAAGAGACTGATTTTGTCCTAGTTGTCACTTTTAGCTCTGTCAGCGTCTAAAGTGGCCATTTTGGTGGTTTTAAAGGATCTACCATAGGCAGACAGTGAGATGATGCATCCCATAATTCCAGCACTCTGGTGGAGGAGCAGAATTTTGAATTTGAGGAAAGCTCTGGCTAGAGGCCCTCTGTCTCACTGCTAATACAGAATTTCTGTGCAGGTGGCTACTGGTGTGAGCAGGCATCCATGCGTGTGTATGGAAGACAGAGGGCAACACCTGCTGTCCTCCGTAGTTTGCCGATTGGCTAGACTACCAGCTAGTAGTCCCCTGAGTCCGGAACCTGCTTGCTACTCCACCGCCCAAACGTGTAGCTTTTGCTTGAGTGCTGGGTATCCAAACTGGGGTCTTCACTCTTCAGCAGTAAGCTATCTTCCAGGGCCCCCAAAGATTATTTTAATACATTTCTTCCTTGTAAATAGAGATAATAAAAGCAGCCACACACCACAAAGACGGCTTCAATTACATTAGGCTTTTGAAATTAAAAAGCTAACCAAAAAAACATCTGGTTGCAAATATCTTCCTGTCAGTTAACTGGCCACGGAGTGTTATTTTTGAGTATCTAAATGTAGGAGTCATAAAAGCAGTATTTGGAAGTGAGGATTTAGGCTTGGTCAGACAAATCCAAACAGGCCTTTGGAGCAGATCATTAATTCAAATAAAATTCCCATTGTAATAAACAAGCTGGAGAATCACTTAGTTCAGATAAAATTGTTCAGGCAATTGCCCCCCCCCCCCTCTCTTTTCTAGACAGGGTTTCTCTGTGTATCCCTGGCTGCTCTCTCTGTAACCGTGGCTGTCCTGGAACTCACTATGTAGGCCACCCTGGCCTCAAATTCAGAGATCCACCTGCTTCTGCCTCCTGAGTGCAGGGGATTAAAGGCATTGCCGCCGCCACCACCCTGCTTCAAGCAATTGGCCTTAATGATAAGTTCTCCTAGGGTCAAAGTGTGATAGTTATTCCTTCCCAGAACAACTGTAACAAGAAAGGAAAAGACATGAGTAAGAATTATATGCAGAAGACAACAGTAACCAACCTGCTCATTCGTGAGGATAAAACAAGCTTAATAGCCTCTGGCAGGTTCTCAGTTTGCAGCCTTTGTCTTGTGTGACACACCTAAGGCAGCAGAGGAAATGATTAATGTGTGCATTAATAATATCTCAACATTGGCTCATGAGAAACATTAAAAGAAACTGCAGCTGGGCGTTGATGGAGGCAGAGACAGGTGGATCTCTGTGAGTTCCAGGCCAGCCTGTTCTGTAGAGCAAGTTCCAGGACAGGCTCTAAAACTACAGGGAAACCCTGTCTCAAAAACACCCCCCCCCAAAAAAAAAGATGCTTGTTGGTGGGAAATACATAGTATTACAGAAAAAACGCCTTCTGGGTTCCTTTTTATAAGATGCATAATCACTGCCTCAAGTAACAAGCAGGCTCCTGCTGAGGCCACTGTTCTCTGAGTTATGATAGATATGTAACTTATAGACAGCACTTTTTCAGTCTAAGCAAAAGGGTATTTCTCAATAAGAACAGTTATGAGCAGACATCTTCATGAAATGGAAGTCGTGATCTATGAACATCTTTCCCCCAGCTAGCTCTACAAACAACAGCCCACTCACTCCTGGAGAGTTCTCCAGGACCAAGGACAGATCTGTGCTCAGATTAGATAGGAGCATGTCCGGCCTGCAGCACACAGGGTAGCAAGACAGCTACAAACTATGCTGATACTTTTCTAGGTGACAAGGTCAGATTAGAGTCAGAAAGTTGACACCGTGAAAAGGTTTAAGATTCTTACAAGTTTTACTGGCCTCAGAAATTTGGCCTGTTTTCTACTTTGCTTTTCTGCAGTTCAGCAGATGAGAATTAAAATTAATAAGCAGAGCTGAGAGGGAAAGCAAAGTACATAATCATTTCCATCCATAGAAGGGCAGGCACGTCCCTGAGCCATAAAGGAAAATGGATATTTGTCTTTGTTGAGTGAAATGATCGATCCTTTAGCATTTACAAACTACCAGAAGAATTTAATGATTTGCTGTTCTCAGAATAAGCACAAAATTAGTGTCTATAAGGGCAGGACAGAGAGGAGCAGCAACTCAGAATGGTAAAGCTAAACATGAGGTAAATGTTGGCAGGGTCTCTTACAAACAAGAGTGTGAGCAGTGTGGATGGGGAGAATCCCCAGCGGGTAGCAAGTGCTCTCCATCCAACACTAGGCCGGTAGCGCTATCTTCCCATTTCCTGTTTCCCATCACTGCCTGCATCTGTGGTCAGCGGGCAGTCTGTGACGGGCCACACGTTTACCTCGGCCCAAAGCTCTAGCAGGGCTTCTGAAGGAAGCCAGCAATGTGCTAAGCATCCGTCATGTTCCGCCATTCCCTTCACCAGTCGGCATACCAGGCGTTACCTTCCAGGGGCAGCCACAGCTATAGTTGTGACGCTATGGTCTGCTCTGACTGTCGCATTTGTGCCGCTCTCTCATCAGGTGCAGGGAAAGAAACGATTTCCCGAGAGATGACACTGTAGACAGAAATGCCAATAACCAAATAGAGGGGGAAAGGGGCCGCCAGTGTCTGTTGGTAAGGGACGGGGGTGATAATTAAAACGTAAATGAAAAACCAGACCAACTGAAAGTTCTGCAGTCAGAGAGCTTGGAGACTAAAGGAAAGCCCATGGTGACTACCCTCTTTAGAGAGGCCCATGAACCCTTCCAAACACCCAAAACCTACCACCATTCCCCAAAGGATGGATGTCACAGAGCTTTAAGGGAGGGAGGGTAAGAAGGGGGAAGGGAGGAAGGGAAGGAAGTAGGGAGAGAGGAAGGAAAAGCTAAGTGCAGCGAGACGGATCTGGCAGCAACAGCACCCTTTCGAAACCCCATCCCTGCTGAGGGGTTAAGAATGAAGAGTAAAGAAAAGGCACAGTAAATGAGGGAAGAAGAGGGAAGGAAGACACAGCTTCCCCAGAATCTCACTGAAGAGAAAGAGAATTGGCAAAAGCTAATTTTCTGAAGAAGACAGTGGACGAGGCGTTTCCCATAATACTGTGGCTCAGTTAAATAGAATTTCAACAAGAAAATTCTGAGAGGACAAACTCTCCAAGTAGTTCTGGAACAAAGTTCTTGTATTTTCACAATGGTAAGCAAATCACAGTAAAGAAGCGTACAAGCGGGCTGGAGAGATGGCTCGGCGGTCAAGAGCACTGGCTGCTCTCCCAGCGGACCTGGGTTCAGTTCCCAGCAACTACATGGCCGTGTACAACAGGCTATATAACTAGTCCTAGATCAGTGATTCTCAGCCCTTTGGGGAGGATCAAATGACCCGTTCACAGGGGTCACCTAAGACCACCAGAAAAAAAAAAGATATTTACACTATGAATCATAGCAGTAGCAAAATTAAAGTTATGAAGTGGCAGCAAAAATAACTTTATGGTTGGAGTCAAACATGAAGAACTGTATTAAAGGGTTGCAGCATTAGGAAGGCTGAGAACCACTACTCTAGGGTATCCAGAGCCCTCTTCTGGCCTCCGTGGGCACTGCACACAGGAGTGGCACAGATACACACTCAGGCAGAAGACCATACATGGGAAGATGTACTATCTTAAGAAGAAACTAACAGTTTGCTTTCTGTTTCTACTGAACACAGATTCTACTTGCCCATGGTCCATCAGCTCGTTCATGTCCTTTAACCAGATATGACATCTAGGATGAGCTAGAAAGATACATTCCTGAAATGCAAGATTACTTCCTCCCACTGCCTTGCTCTTTCAAAAATCAGTATATATAGGGGCTGGAGAGATGGCTCAGCGGTCAAGAGCACTGGCTGCTCTCCCAGTGGACCTGGGTTCAATTCCCAGCATCCACATGGCAGCTCACAACTGTCTATAACTCTAGCTCCAGGGTATCTGGCACCTTCATACCAAATACACATAAAGTTAAATATTTTTTAAGAAATCAGTATATATGTCTCTTAATTTAACCTCTTATTGCTCATAAAGAAGAAAGGTTTTGTGTTTAATATTCTTTTTGTTGTTGTTTGTTGAGACAGGGATTCTCTGTAGCTTTGGAGCCTGTCCTGGAACTAGCTCTGTAGACCAGGCTGGCCTTGAACTCACAGAGATCTGCCTGAGTGCTGGGATTAGGGGTGTGGCACCACCACCACCCCGCTACCACGTTTAATATTCTTCATTTCCATCTGCAGTACACAACAATCTACAGGAACTAAACAATAAGGTGGGAAGCCTTCAAGGCTGTCTGGGTTGCAAGGCCAGCCTGAAAGAATGTCTGAGACCTGGGACTGTAGCTCTGGGGTTCATGTGTGTTCAATCTGAGTTCTGCAAGAATTCAACAAAGGGGAGGCGGACCAGCCAGCAAACCAGAAAGGGCTGGAAGGCTCCTCCGCCATCCTACTCACTCCCTGAGGTAAGCTGTCAGAGCCAGATTAGGCATCGTGTTCTCATTAAATAAGCAATCCATTTTAAAACCAGTTCAATGTTGCTTTCATATCTAGTTATACTAGTTATAATCAGGCTAGAGAAAGAATAAGAGCTTTTCCTACCACCCGAGCAAATAAAGTTCACCATGTCACTTAACAACCTATCCCATCCTCGTCCTGAAATAGAGATACTCGGGTCTGTGCACTCCAGAACCCACACCTAACTGAAGATCCAAAATGACCTCGGTGTTCCCTCTCTTGGGGCAATGTAATGTTTATTACTGCCTTGAGGTAGATTAAGGAAGACTTTCAGGTTAGAATCACTTTCAGAATTTTACCATCTGAAGACAGAAACAGGAACTTGCAAAGAGTCTGAGACTAAAATGTTAAATTTAAGAAAATTACAAAACAAAGGTAAAAAGACTGTGGTTATCAATCTTATTTATTGAAAGGTGGAAGACAAGGAAAATAGCCTCTCAAATGCCAAAAACAAATCTGTACCTAAATGTAAATAAGTGCTTTACATACCAATAAACTGTCCCTTTCGCCCCCCCAAAACTGAGTTTACCAAGCAATGCTAATTTATTGTTTACAAAAAAAATCTTACCTGCCATAGAACTGAATTTAGAAAAGAAAATCTTATTTTGAGTACATTAATTAAATTTCTTAAAACATTTAACCTAAGAAAATTTTTCCTCAATTGCCTACCCCTCCCATTTCAGAAAGAAGCCTATTTCAAGCAAGTTTATAGAGAAATGCATACATAATACAATACACAGTGCTGTGTAAACCAACCTGGTCATTAAGGTCAGCAGTCTTGTCGTAAGGGACACAGACAATCAATATATGGCTTTATGTAAATTTGCAACTAAATATCAAAAATGTTTAATTCTTTTGAGAGCTAACCTGAGTATGGGATATATGACTTAGCTAAGAGGATATAAATAAAATGAGAAAAGAAGGGGAAAATGTGTGTGTGTGTGTGTGTGTGTGTGTGTGTGTGTGTGTGTGAGAGAGAGAGAGAGAGAGAGACCTAAGTTTTGAAGTGAAGGTCTATATATCATTTAATAACATATTAACAATGACTCTGTATAGCATATGACCTTATTAAAACTGCATCTTAAGTGCTTTATTGTTCTGGTCTAAGATATTGGAAATTAAAAAAATCTTATTTCACATGGAGAATGAGAGTATACTAACTAAAAAACCACTAATATGCAGTATTAAAATAGGTATTTGTGTGTAACAAAGGTAGTTCTCAGTTCAGCAAGTTCTCAGATGGCATCTGAAGAGGATTTTTAAAAAGGAACCCGTAAGACCAGGGGCATAAGCATGATTCAAGTCTGTAAGGCTTTATCTCGAACTCTTGAGCACGTTGGTTATTCATACCCCACCTTCACAGAGGTGTATGCATTTGACAATCAACTAAACCTTTACATTATGGGTAACTGACTGTGGGCTACATAAGAAACATGCGCTCCTTTAAGGGAAAACCGTAGGCTCATCTATCTGGGGAACAACCTAACAGTGTTTCCTTGCAGTATGACCTCAGAGTGTCTACTATAGGGGACTAGGAACAAACACACCGTGGTAAAGATATCACCCCTAATTTAAAATCCAGGTCTTAACAGTATTCCTTCCTAGTCTTAGCACTCGTTTACTAAGAATCTGTTCCCCAGAAAGATGATGAAGAACCCTAAATTCAGCTTAAAGTGGCTTAAGTAAGTGCAGTGAAAGACAGCCAGTTACATAGAGAGCAAACCCTTATTTCCACTGCCATGACTTTGAACTACTCCACTCCATGAAATGTCCGCACTACAAGCTGAGTTCCTGTAAGCTACCAAGATGTCCTGTTTCACTGCCCATCTTCTTAGTAAGTCAGAAGAGAAGACTTCCCACTGTTGCTAACGTTGATTCTCATCAGTTCCTCACCACATACAAAGCATGGGCGGTGAAAATGGAACCCACGGAATGGAAACGGCAGTCTCCCGAAAGGCAGCGCAGCGCAGGAAAGCTGGCTGAAAGTTGTCAGTCAAGACAGGGACCCAGGATAATACAAGGAAAACGTTTGCAATGCAAGAGCTCCTTCCATCCCCCCACACACACTTCCAAGTGGAGCAGACCGAGGCTGTGCAGACTTCCCTACTCACCATACACAGCGGCCCTGCCAGAGCTCTAGGAGGCTATGCCTGACACTGGCCTGGCGGCCGGGGAGAGGTCCTGAGAAAGACGAGCTGACGGTGCTGTTACATCTGAGTCACTATCATTGCCTCTGTTTAAAAATTTGTTTTTGTAGCATGGAAAAATGTAAAAGAAGCCTTTTAATTGCCCATAATTCAACTTTGTGCATGTCAGTTTTTTACTCAGCTATTATTAAACATACAGGTGCCCTTTAGTAAGAAAAATTTCTATCACCTAGAAAAAGAGGATTACACTAGGGCTAAAGAATCTGGCCACGTAACTTCATTAACTAAAGGGATAAAACCATCAACATACTTAGTTTCTCCCAACTTCTAACTCCCTATTAATTATTTTCTTATTGTTGAACATAAATATTTTAAGATGTATTCCAGAAAGTAGCACTAGGAATTTTCTATATTCATCAATTTAAGAAATTGTGCAAAACAATATACATATATACATCCCAAAATACACGCACATGTGTGTACACACACACAAACACACAATATATTATGTATATGCTTTCATAACTGAATCCTGGTTTTTTGAAGGTTTGTACAATATGGGAAATTAAAATATTTACTAAATTTGAGCACATACATTTTCCTCCATTTCCTCCCCCACATGTATATATTAATAGAGACATAGATGAAACAAACTGAATTGTCAGGTTGTTTCTGCAAACTCAACAGAAAACATTCATTGTTATGAACCTTTATTAGGTGGCTCACATTTCAATATGGATCGTACTGAAGACTCTTGAAAGCTATGTACATACAGTGCTGACACACTTGGCAGGAAAGGAAAAGGAGATATAAATAAGCTCTATGGAAAACCTTAAATTGTCAAAAAAGAATTCTGGCTCATATTACAAAAAATATATTTATGTGATTTTTGTCAGCTCCATCCTGAACCTCAAACTCAGACTCCTTTGATGTGACCGGCAATGGCGACAGTGCAGCGGGCCCTAGTGCGCGGATTCAGTCACGGACAGGCACTGCGGAATGTTACGAAGCTACATAAACTACGTTGTAACCAACGAGAGCAATTCCTAGGCTCGCTTTCAGATTTCATGAATCGTTATTACAAATTATCTTTAAAAAGGAATTTTAAACACAATGTACAAATTTAGCACAAATTGCCATCATCCTTCTTGTCTTGATTTGAGTGCACAGAACTCTGTTGCCGTGTATCAACTATATCATTGAGACTTCCAGGACACAGTTCTTCCCTGAAGTCTTTGTTACTGTCTTCAAATTTAGAATCCACGTCAATCTGAAAACCTGAAAACTGAACATGATCCAACTTCGTCTTAACAGTCTTGCCTTCCGTGCTATTCGGGGTTCTAGTCTTTTCAGCTATAGTAACTCTCAAAGGGTCTTCCTTGGTTCGTGTAGGTGCAATAGGTTCATGTTTAATCTGTTGTGATTCATACTTAGAAGGAAGTTTGTCTGAAAACACAGAGTCTGGTGAGGTTTGGTTCACAGCACAAAGAATGTTGCCAGTGTGAGGTTCGAGAGCGGATGACTTGGGACCTGATGACATGCATGTTTCGTGAGTGACCGCACTGAGACAAGTGTCCTCCTCTGCGTGATATAACTTAAGTCGAACATGCCACGCCAAACTGCACACAGCAGAGACTGTCTTGAACTGATGAACAACATTCCTGGGAATGAAGTAAATGTCATTGTCGTACAGCTGAACCCTGGCATAGCGAATGCCTTCTCTCCGCAGCTGATTAAGTTTTGCATCATCAACCCACTGAACACACTGGGAAAAAAAAAATACAGGTAAGACTTTTGCACAACAAAATCTAAGTGAAAATGATGATTATTTTAAGTTTTGGTTTTACCTGGGACAGTGGAGGTTCGTGTAAATCTAACTGCATTCGTTGAACCACTTCTAAGAAATCTTCTGCATGGAAACAAATCACATCTTTGGTTATTCGGGGCTGGTCAGGTCTGTAAAGGAGGGTGATAATAAAGGAACCTTACATTAATGTTTCATTCTGTTAAGTCCTTAATAAATTCAAACAAAACTAGTTTATGATCAACACCAAAACCTTACAAATAAAGAAAACCACTTCATCTGTTAAAATCAGGTTAGCCATGAGCTCCAACCTAAACAGACTAACAACTGTCTTTACTCTCAGAATTATCTGTAAATTATACAAACCATCAAAACTAAATATCTCATTTTAATGCAGTTCAATTTTTCTTTAAGTATTAAAATATAAAATACTGCATAAAAGAAGCTGAAGCAAACAAGAAAGACACACACTATGTGTTCTCATTTCCATGTGTGAGTTAAAGGGGCTTTGGCAAAGCACAGAATGGTAGTTATTGGGCTGAAGAGAGTGAGTTATTAGGGAGGAATAACTGGAAATGTTCTGTAGTACAGGAGGGTGACTATGGTTAACATTTAGTTAAATACTGCAAAACAGGCAGAAGAGAGAACTTCATTCTCACCACACAAAAATGGTGGATGCTGTGGTGGTTGTGGAAGTAACAGATAAAGGAGTGTTCTGCTCTGTTACATAGGGTATACCTGTGTTGAAATATCACACTGAATCTCATAAATATGTACATTTAGTATATCATGAATTTATAATAAAAAGTATGGGCAGAAGTGGCTCACGCCTGTAACCTGGATTACACAGTGACACTCAAAAAAAAAAAAAAACAGAGAGAGAAGAAATACTTTCTTGTTCTACAGAAGATACTGTCTACCTGAACACACCCAATCTCAAAAGCTCTGGACACTAAGTAGGCTTGGGCCCAGTTAGTGTGAGATGGGAAAGATACTACAACCATGCTGATGCACACAACCCCTAAGGACTCTTGCAGTTTTATTTCTTTTTTTTTTTAATATTTATTTATTTTTATTATGTATACAATATTCTGTCTGTGTATATGCCTGAAGGCCAGAAGAGGGCACCAGACCTCTTTACAGATGGTTGTGAGCCACCATGTGGTTGCTGGGAATTGAACTCAGGACCTTTGGAAGAGCAGGCAAAGCTCTTAACCACTGAGCCATCTCTCCAGCCCCTTGCAGTTTTATTTCATTGCTGTAGTCTTAGTAACAATAAATTACGAAATGTCTATTACAAATACTCATTCTTCATTGGAGACATTACATTTCTTAAATCCTGACAGTCTAGCCTGACGGAGACAACTGACCGAAACTACGATCAATCAATGTGCAGAGTCACGGAACCCTGTCTCAGCTAACACATCTAGAAAACACTCCCACAGCTAAGGCTCAGGGAACACTGTAGAGAGGGGGTGGAAGAATTCTACGAGCCAGATGACCAGGGCTGTGCTGTGAGATCCTGTCTCCTAATAAGTTACACCCATGGAGTCTCACCAACAGGACTGCCCAAAAAGGACACCAAAGTGTGCAAAGTCACATGGGGAAAGCCTTTGAGGCCCCAACCCTACACAAAGAACTGCAGGCTGCTAAGTAGAAAGGTGGGGAGAGGTGGCCCTCTGGGGACAAAAGCACACAAACGCTCATCCCAGGCAACAGACATAAAAGAACATTATACGGAGCTAAGACATGGAGCTGTGTACATAGATACAAGTACAGACAGGGCTATAGCAACAACTGATAAAAAGAAAAGGCCAGCAGGGAGGGATAGAAGGGAGGGTCTGGAAAGAGGAAAGGGAAGAGAAAAAGGTTGTAATTAAAAATATAATCTCAGGCGGGCGGTGGTGGAGCACGCCTTTAATCCCGGCAGTGGGGGGTGAGGGGGGGGGGGCAGAGACAGGCGGATCTCTGTGAGTTTGCGGCCAGCCTGGTCTACAAAAGCTACAGCCTGGTTCCAAGACAGGCTCCAAAGCCACAGAGAAACCCTGTCGTCTCGGAAAAACCAACCAAACAAAAAATACAATCTCAAAAAAAAAGAAATATAAGTCATAATATAGTCAAATCCCTAAGGTTCAATGAGAGAGTCTCCCGGGCAGCCAGTTCCTGGAGTGCAGACTTTTCAAAGACTAAAACACAGAAGAAAGTGAGAGTATGGACAGAAAACACAAGTGCTCTCTCCCGGTGCGCTGGACCAAACACCATGCTCTAGCCCTCTAGACTCCCGTAAGTTAAAATCAGCCCTCCCTTCTCTGCGCTGCTCCTCAGACATCGCTGAAAGACTAACCGAGAGGGACAGAAAGTAGCAGATGAATGGATATTTGAGGTAAAGAAATGGCTGAAGTAATGAGCTACCAAGAATACTACAAGACAAATGTTCTACAACTTGACTGTCGTTGTAGTACATAGCTAAATAAATTAGTAAAAACAAGGAGCAGGCTTAAAATTGGTACATGTTTTATTGAATGTAAATTATACCCTAACTTTATGGGTATAATTATGGGCTAGAGAGGGCTCCACAGGCAAAGCACTAAGCAAGTGTGAGGACCCGGGTTCAGAGCCCCAACCATGCCAAGTTGAGCACTATAATCCCAGAGTTCTTATGGCAAAATGGGAGTGGAAAACAAGAGAATCCAGTCCCAGAAAGCTTGCAGGCAGTTTTCCTGCATACTCAGCAGCCGAACTGAGTATGCAGGATCCTGTCTCAAAGAAGCAGAGTAAGAGGACCGAGTCTCAGACACACTAACACACACCACGGTCACAACATAATGAATGACCTCCCAAGGGTAATACAAGATATTCGTAAATGAGCTTACAGTAGCTCTAGGTATATCTAGTTCCCTTTAACCAGGAATTTCTCCATTAGTCATTTTAAAAAGGAAATTATTCCACTCAAATTAGAGTCTAGCAATTTAAATATTCAATTCAATTATGCTATCCAAATGTAAAAGCAAAATAAATGATTTTCCCTAGCAAAAAGAAATTATGAACATTTCCAATACAGGGCTTTTGTTTCGTTTTTCTTTTTCTTTTTTTTTTTTTTCTTTTTTGTTTTTTGTTTATAGAGACAGGATTTCTCTGTAGCTTTGGAACCTATCCTGGTACTCACTTTGTAGATCAGGCTGCCTTTGAACTCACAGAGATCCACCTGCCTCTGCCTCCCGAGTGCTGGGATTAAAGCCGTGTGCCACCACTGCCCAGCTTTTGTTTTGTTTTGTTTTTCAAAACAAAAGTTTCTCTCCACAGCCCTGGCTGTCCTGGAACCCTCTCTGTAGAGCAGGCTGGCCTCAAATTCACGGAGAGCCTCCTGCCCCTGCCTCCCCCGTGCTGGGACTAAAGGTCTCTACCACCATCTCATGGCCCAATAAAGATTTTAAATGGCATACACTTTTAATTCCAGTACTTGGGAAGAAGAGGCAAGTGAATCTTTGTGAGTTTGAGGCTAGCTTGATGTACATAGTGGATTCCAGGACAGTCATAGTAAGGCCAGCTCCACAGTAATACACTGTCTCGAAAACAGTAAAAGAAAATATAATAAAATAACAGTAGTTAGTGTAAGGAAGAACCCAGGTTCAAGTTCTAGTACAGCCATCACCAACAAACAGCAATAGTGGGGCTGGAATTGAGCAGTTAAGAGCGCTGGCTGCTCTTCCAGAGGACTCAAGCCCATCCCTAGCACCCATGTGACAACCCCAACTGTCCTCTTCTGCCCCACCAGACACTGCACGCGTGGGATTCAGGCGAGTGGGATTCAGGCGAAACATTCAGACACACAGAATAAATCTGAGAAAGCAGCTTGTGTACCGCTGTCCACAGTGCACAGCCTTCAGCACCCCCACGGCAGCTGTGGTCTGTCGCTCAAAGCCTTGGCCTATGTGGTCAGCGTGGGCCCTCGTCCTGTCTTCAAACAGCATCTCCCGAGGCTCGCTGGTTCGAGGTAGATACTGAAGGTTTTTTATTTCATTGGTAGTCCTGTTTATTAAAAGAGATTTGCATTTAAATACTGAGGCTTGTTTCCTTACCAGGCATTTCATACTCACATAATTTCAGACAAAAGGAGATGTTTAATTCTTAAAATGAATAAAGGCAAACAAAAAATAAGACATGTCAATTCTGGAAAATCCTTTCCCACAAGTGGCAGCCCTGGAGTGTGGGGCACTCAACAATACACATACTTCTAGAAGCAACACATTTCTTTCTTTTTTCCTTTCTTTGTTTTTTTTTGGGGGGGGGGGGCGGGGGTTGAGACAGGGTTTCTCTGTGTAACAAACAGCTCTGGAGATCCTGGAATTGACTCTGTAGACTAGGCTTGCCTCTAACTCACAGAAATCCACCTGCCTCTGTCTCACAAGTGCAGAGACTAAGTGTGCCATCACTGCCTGACATAACTTTTTAAATAGATTAATTCAATATTCACACGACACACGCCATAGGCCAGGTGCTGTCTAAGCTGAGACTACAGTAGAGAGGAGGGTGCTACTCTTAGGAGAATTTCAAAGAAAGACAAAAATAAATTAGCAAAAAAGACCCCACCCCCAGGTTAACGACGACGACAGGCAGTGGGTCCACAAAACAGTTACTAGAGGGGAAAAAAAGTCTTCACCTTCCACAGGCCCTCCTGCCCGTCTTCTGCTCAAGAGCACTAAGAACCTGCTGCCCACTCTCCTCGCACACAGCAGAGGCATCTCCACTCCCTCCCTCTGCAGCACCTTCTGCTAGGCTATTCCAGATGGTCGGCTTCTGCCGCTCTCCTCTTCTGATGCTGTGAGTCCTCCACTAGCTGTGACCACTCTACTGCCTGTTGCATCTCCTGCATCCCTGCACGCTGTGACCACTCTACTGCCTGCTGCACCTCCTGCATCCCTGCACGCTGTGACCACTCTACTGCCTGCTGCATCTCCTGCATCCCTGCACGCTGTGACCACTCTACTGCCTGCTGCACCTCCTGCATCCCTGCACGCTGTGACCACTCTACTGTCTGCTGCATCTCCTGCATCCCTGCACGCTGTGACCACTCTACTGCCTGCTGCACCTCCTGCATCCCTGCACGCTGTGACCATTCACCTGCCTGCTGCATCTCCTGCATCCCTGCACGCTGTGACCCCACTCTACTGCCTGCTGCATCTCCTGCATCCCTGCACGCTGTGACCACTCTACTGCCTGCTGCTCCTCCTGCATCCCTGCACGCTGTGACCCCAGTCTACTGCCTGCTGCTCCTCCTGCATCCCTGCACGCTGTGACCACTCTACTGCCTGCTGCTCCTCCTACATCCCTGCACGCGTCTTACCAGACTCTTTGTGATTAATATTCTACCTGTTTGGAAACATGGGCTAATAGACAAGTGACATCACACTCAAACCCCTAAATACACAAGCAGCACGCAGTACTGTGGTTATTTGGACAGCACCAGGCCATGAAGCATCACATATATCAGGGGCTCTAAACCTTGAAGTACAGAGAAATTCCGAGGGGCTGGTGAACCCTTTAAATTATATCTAAAAATTTGTATCTATATCATCTGGCAACAGATTTTCTGACTAAGTTCTTTACTCAGTTCCTGAAACAAGCAAGGTGGAAAGGCTCAAACACTCAGCTGAGGCCACCCTGGTCTACACAGAGTTTCAGGACATCCAGGGCTATGGAGAGTTTCGAGAGCCTGTGTTGGGTGGCTCAGAACTACCTGTATCTCCAGCTCCCGGGGGGCAGCGTGTAACACCTGTGACCTCCACAGGCATCTGCACATATATGAACATACCCACACATGCATATACCCACAGACAAACAAAAACACATCATTAAAATGTTTTAAGTAATCTTTCAAAAAAGAGAAGAGAATAAGCTCTATAAAACACAATTTTACAACTGTTACCAACTTAGAACTTAACTCTTGGATTCCATTATTTATTAAGCAGCAGACACCATACAGCAAGCCCAACAGTCCCTGCGGTCAGGAAACCTACCATTTGCTCCATGACGTCTTACCCTGTTTTGTTTTAGATTCATTTATTTTATACACATGAATCGTTGGCCTGCATGTATGCAGTGTATCATGTGTGTGTCTGGTGCCTTCACAGGTCAGAAAGGGCATGGGACCCCTGGCGCTGGATGGCTGTGAGCCAGCATGTGAGCACTGGGAATGGAGCCTGGGTCTCCTGAGTCATCTCCCCCAACCCTGTTTTGTTGTTTGTAATAATTCATGATACTGTTAAAATCATTTTAGGTATCTATAGAAAAAAAAAGCCACACTGCCCCCTAGCACCCCCAGTTCTATGACCACAAAGTTAACTTTAGTGTATATTTTTCCAACTTTTGCTCCATGCATAGTTTATAAATTTTTAATAATTCTCTCTCTCTCTCTCTCTCTCTCTCTTTCTTCCACCTGCCTCTGTCTCCCGAGTGCTGGGATTAAAGGTGTGCACCACCACCTCCTGGCCTAAATTTTTAGTAACTCTCTGATGACACCACACATGCATAAAGTAAATTCATTCTCTCCAGTATAGGAGCAAATATCCAAGTGAAATGAAAAGTCGACTGAAGTTCTTCTAAAACCTGGAAGACAGTGAACTTTCATTTTCTCTTTGTATTATTTTCTGTCTTCCCAATGATGTGGGTTAGTTCTTAATACAAGTTTTGAATACTTGTTAAATTTATTCTAACCAGTTTGTCTCTCCATGAGTGAGATCTTCTCCACTGCTGTTGTAGAATATTAGTTTATGATGTGTTAGAATATTTGTTTATTCAAAGATGCTCTGCTTTTGTTTACACTGCATTCGCTTCACTCTGCGCAGCTGTTACTCTGCCTGTCTAAAATACCCTATTGGTCTAATAAAGGGCTGAACAGCTACCAGCAAGGCAGGAGGAAGAATGGGTGAGGTTGACAGGCAGAGAGAATACATAGGAAAGAAGGAGGAAAGATCCAGGGGCCATACAGCCACACAGCCAGACACGGAATAAGAAGGAAAGAAAAGATACACAGAAACAGAAAAGGAAAATACCCGGAGGCAAAGGGTAGATGAGATAATTTAAGAAAAGTTGGCAAGAAACAAGCCAAGCTAAGGCTGGGTACCTCCGTGTGGTTTATTTGGGAGGTGGGTGGCAGGCCCCCAAGAGTAAAGTGTAAGGAGTCCAAAGAATAAAAACAACCAACTACATACTCCTCACTGTAATTATTCTCTCTCTCTTTTTTTTTTTTTCAAGACAGGGTTTCTCTGTGGTTTTTGGTTCCTGTCCTGGAACTAGCTCTTGTAGACCAGGCTGGCCTCGAACTCACAGAGATCCGCCTGCCTCTGCCTCCCGAGTGCTGGGATTAAAGGCTGTAATTATTCTCATTCGCTTCCGTCTCATGTTTCATTTATTCTGGATGTTTTATAATCAAGGATGCTAGCACACTGCCGACATACCTTTTCCTCTTGAAGGGCGACTTTGGCATGTCCGCCACAGGGATCATCTGCTCTCCTGGACGCACCCACATGATGGGGCCATCATCGCTATCTTTCCGACTCTCTAGCTTTAGACTAGAGAGTGTTCCCCACGGCAACGTACACTAGAAACAAATAATAGCACAAATTAGTTATTCTCAAAATATATCTTCAAATATGTACTAAAGCTATTACGAGGAGAGATATGTGGGTGGGGTAAGAGAGAGGGGTAAATAATGTAATTATATTAATCTCAAAAAATATTACCTAGAGTCAACTAATGAAACAGACTGATAATTAAAACAAAAAATTCTAATTCCCTTATAAAAATCTTTACCATGTATTAGCAAAGGTTAAAATTAGATTGGAGGAAAAAAGTTCCCCTCTTAAACACATATCCAACCTAAACCCACCTCCACCAAAAAGTCAAACACACCCTTAATTGGTGATAATCAAATACTAATGTCATAAAAAAACACACACACACAAACCAATCAAATTATTTGTTTAGTAGTTTCTTGACAAGGCTGCTTTTTTTCTTTTTTTGAGACAGGGTTCTCTGTAGCTTTGGAGCCTGTCCTGGAACTGGCTCTGTAGACCAGGCTGGCCTCGAACTCACAGAGATCCGCCTGCCTCTGCTTCCTGAGTGCTGGGATTAAAGGCGTGCACCACCACCGCCCGACAAGACTGCTGGTCTTAAAGCAGAAACTAAATTCCTAAAGAAGTGAGGGAGGAGGAAAGACGAGGACGAGAGCACTAGATGGAAGGATGGGATGTCTTCATCACCTCACAGTCCCGTTTAAAAGAAGAGCTAAATTTTCTACAAACAAGAAAAATGATTATGCTCAAAGTACTTGCTATGACTAACTGGAAAAGGAAAAAGAAACAAAAAGTGTAAAAGCTATAAAGGGGGAAAGAAAGAAAGAAAAATAAAGTCAAAGTAGACCACAGGCTATGTAACACATGAGGCAGGACACAGCCAGTCATGCAATGGCTCAGGTGGTCGGCTGGAGAGCAGCCCCACATTCTGCTGTGACCACGGCCCTACCTGTCGGGAGCGTCACACTCACCCTTGTATTATTGCTTATTAAGGAACTAACTACGCAGTGCAGATGCAGTAAGAATGCAGCAGCTACTCCAAAACAGAAGGGAGGGGAGGGCCTGGCTGCAAGGCTGCGCAGCAGGAGAGCTCGGCACAAAACTGACGCGGCCTGTGTCCGAGTCCCACAACGCATGCAAATGTGAAAAAGATGAAATTTAACATGGAAAAGATGGGGGCAGGGTGCACAAAGTTGTCTTCTGACAGCCACATGTACCTCATGGCCCGTGGGTGCCCCAAACCCACGTGTACTCATAATAATGAATACATTTTTTTAAAAGAATTTAAAATGGAAGTTGATTAGAAAAATTTTAGAAACAAAAATGGAGCATGAGCTGAATGTTTGATGCAACTGTACAGCTCCCCAGGTCAGTTCCCACCATGTTCCCACCACCGACTGTACAGCTCCCCAGGCCAGTTCACACCACGTTCCCACCACACCCTGGTTCTCACAAAGCTTACTAGGCATCCTCATCTGAATCTTCTTGTACAGACGCAATAAGAAGCAATGTTATTTGCTGATTCACCCTTTAACTTTGTCATTACAATAAAGACTGAGAAATTTGGGCAGCGGTGGCGCACGCCTTTAATCCCAGCACTTGGGAGGCAGAGGCAAGCAGATCTCTGAGTCTGAGACCAGCCTGGTCTACAAAGTGAGTTCCAGAACAGTCAGGACTGCTTCACAGGGAAACCCTGTCTCGAAAAACAAGCAAACAAACACACACACACACACAAAAAAAAAAAAAAAAAAAGCTGAGAAACTGCATGTATACATAGGTTTCCTTTTTTGAATTTAAATAAAAATTAAAAAATAATTGTAAACAACCATTCATCTGTATCAACTATAACTTGAAAGTAACACCCACAACTTAGAATGCTAAGACTTTCTCTTACTTTTAAGAACGGTGACTCCTCCAACATGTCAAGGAACTCAGGGAAGAAATCTCCCACTTCTTCATCAACGGCTCCCACCAAGCTAATCTGTCGCATGGGGCCAGCTCTGTAAGTACCATGAGAATATGTTCTTTTTACCTGAGGGACATGAATGTAATTAAGTTAAATAAGTCAGACATATATATATGAAGTGTTTGTTATTGTCAGATAACAATGAATTACATCATTTCAGACTACTAGAACATAGCCAGAAATAAAGAAAATACAAGGCAGAAAAAAAAAAGAAGTCTGTAATAATAGTGGGGCATTTTATAAAAAATATTACTAAGCCAGCTAATTTCTGTTTCTCTGTCTGCACTACTCACTAGAAGAGCTCAAATGAACACTGTATGGACAACCAGCTGCACCGTCTTCTATAGTTGTTTAATACAGTGCTACTAAAAATATTCAAAACGACATACCATTTTTCTAAATAGACAGCTCTTATCTTTCCCCACAAGTGTCAAATGACCCACATTCCTAGTGGTTAAATGTCAACAGCCACTAAGGATTTCCTTTCATTCTGGATAAGATTTTCACTGCAGCCAGTTCACACGCTATCCTCAACTCTGATGAAATGGCTGAAACGCCGAGGTGGAAATCCTAGGCCACAAAATCACCCCTGCCATCAACCTGCTAACTTCAGATCCCACATAAAGTCCTCCTGCTCTCCTTGTGACCCAGATCAGAGAAGAAAAGGCAGTGCTCACTACCTAAAGCACCTGTGTGACCGAGCGGCCTGTCTGTGGGTGTGCTGACACCTGGATTGCTCATCTGCTCCTCACAGACGATGGTGCGTTGTACAGAAATGGGAGGTATCATTTCAAGCTTCTTTTCCTAAATAAACTTTAGTCAAAATTCCAATTACCGCTTTTTACAAAAGTAAGACTTTGTGGTCACAATATGTTGAAGATCACTGATTAGTTTGCCCAGGGCTGACCTAGTTTAAGCGACAGTCCTGTAGTACAGGCAAACCTAAATGGCCATGCTTTTGTTATTATAAAACTATACAACTGCAGCGGCATACATAGACTAACACATGCAAAGTGCCAGTTCCAGCCCACATACTTTAGGGAACATGACAGTAAATATTCTATTCCCCTAGAATAACTCCAGGACACCAGAATCTCATTCTTATCATAACCAGCAAGCATTGATTCTTTAAATTTTTATCATGATGAACATTAACTTTATTTAAGAATTGTAAGTTTAACTTTTCCATTATCTGTCAAAACTTCACTGCTCAGGTTCACAAGCCAAGCCCCAAGTCACAAAATGTATAGATCATACTTCCCCTAAAAGGTCCCATCATCCCTACATCAATGTTTCCCAACCTTTGGGTTGTGCCAGGTGTTCACATCACGATTCACAACATAGCAAAATTACAGTTATGAGGTAGCAACGGGATAGTTTTATGGTTGAGGACACAACATGAGGAACCGTGTTAGAGTCACAGCATTAGGAAGCTGAGGACCACGGCCACAGAAACAACAAACTGACTCAGAGACATGACGGTATCACAGTGGGAACCTGGTCAGAGTGCGGTTCAGTACGGTCGTCTTGAACAAACCCAGTCGCCATTCTGAACTCTAACAAACATCCCAGATTAACAGGAGGCAACCTGTCCATGAGTGTGGTTCAGTACGGTCGTCTTGGACAAACCCACAGTCGCCAGTCTGAACTCCAGCGAACATTCCAGATTACAATACAAAAACTATTAAATGATTCTGCATTCATGTACTTGGTTTGAGATCTGCATGTGACCATATGAATTATGAGAAACCACAAAGCTATTGAAGAGGGAAATTCGGGCTGAGGGTGCAGATCTGTGGAATCCCTTGCCTAGCATTTATACAGTCCTGGGATTGATCCCCAACACGGGCAGGGAGAGGAAGGGAAGAAGTAAGATCAACTTATGTTATAAAACACAAACTTAGCGAGGGTTTTGAAATGTAACAAAGGACAATTTAGGGAGCTAATGTTTCCATGTCATACAGGCAGTTAAGTTTGCTGTGCATACATTTATTTAAGTCAGATACCTGAGTATCACCTATGTCACTAAACAATTCTAACCACCAATAAATCCTTAGTACCCATGTACAAACAAGACAAAATACCAAACCAGAGGCTGGGCAGTGAAGACACACACCCCTTTAATCCCAGCACTACAGAGGCAGAGGCAGGTACATCTCTGAGTTCGAGGCCAGCCTGACATACAAAATAAGTTCTAAGACAACCAAGGCTCCAGAGAGAAACTTTGTCTTGAAAGGAAAAAAGAGGGGGGTGCTGGAGAGACGGTACACAGGTTAAGAGAGGACCCTGGTTCAATTCCCAGCACCACATGGCAGCTCACAACTGACGGAAACTCCAGTTCCAGGGGACCCAACACTCTCACACAGACATACATTCGAGCAAAACACCAATAAAATAAATAATTTTTAAAACTACCCAAACAGAGGCTGGGTGGTGGAGATACACACCTTTAACCCCAGCATCTAGGAGGCAGAAACAGGCGGATCTCTGTGACTTTGAGGTCAGCCAGGTCTACAAGAGCTAGTTCTAGGACAGGTTCCAAAGCTACAGAGAAACCCTGTCTCGAAAAACAAAACATTATTTGAGTTATGAAAAAAGAGATGAACATAGGTCCACTTTACTACATCAAGTAATAACCCATTAAATAATGTATATGATTTTCAATTAAATAATTAATTTCATTAAATAACATAAAAGAATTTTCAATGAGTGAATTCTTCTCAAGTAGTAAGCACACTTCAATATGAGCTCTCCCGAAGACGTGATATTTAATACTCTTTCATAGCAAGAAAAAGAGAAAAAAAATAGCTTTTTCTACTATATGCCATGACTGCATATAAAAGACATGAAAGAACACTGTGTAAAGTGAATTTAAGGGCGACCAAGGGAAGGGGAAATAAGTCTGAAATTCTACGTCTATTTAGCTAGTGTGTAAATGAAGGCACACTGTTTGAAATAATTTATTTCTCTAATAAGTAAAGCTGGCTTCTGCCCCACTGTCACGTAACTTTTTTTTTAATCAGATAACTATTTCTACTCCACAAGAAAGAGGGAGAAGGCTGGTGTGTGGTGCACATCTTTAACCCCAGCGCTCAGGAGTCAGAAGCAAGCAGATCTCTATTGTGTGAAACCATCCCGGTCTACATAGGGATTCCAGGACAGCAAAGGCTGAGCCGGGTACACCAGCACAGACCTACTGGGGAGGAGGCACAGGGTATTGCAAATTTGAGGCCATCTGAGGGGAGATGGAGATATTCAACCATGACTAAGCTTTAAAAAATAATATAATCAAGTAAGTTTGGAAAATCCTTGTGCAATAAATGCCCATATGTATGCTACATTTCTGAAAAGACTCAGCAGATAAACGAAATTTGTTTGATCTAGAATGCATGTGTTATTCCCTGATCCACGAAGTCCCCCAAATACCAACAAGGAGACCGAGTCCTGTACATAAAAGTAAAAGCAAAAGAGCCTTTATTTTATGCAAGTTTGCACACTCGGTCTCTTTGCATGTCCAGCGGTACTGCAATAATCAGAGAGCCTGGAGCTCAGTTAGAGTTGGGTTTTATAGTAGTAAAGGTGGGGGTGAGGGGTTTCTGAGGTTCAGGATTCCCGACTGGCTGACATTTGTCCAGGGGTGTCCTGGTGAGTGTGTGCTGGCAGGTGGTCCTATCTACAGTGGCTGGAACATTAGGCACTTCCTTTGGATGGTCTGTTCTTGGCTGGTGCTCGGGTAAACTCAGTTTGTGGTCCTTCCTGCAAACAGGTATTACCTCAGGGTAAACTACTGAGACCCAGGCCTCCATTAAATTTATTATGGCTATGTTCTACACTGGCAGGTGATAATGGCTGGAAGTAAAAAACTTCCCTTGGGTGGTCTGTTCATATTTAGCTTTTCATGGCTGGTTCCTGCAGCATGAACTATTTTTATTTCAAAACCTGTTTTAGTACTCCCATCAATATCCCAAGATATTAGCAGTTCTTCTGAACAGCAATCCATAAAACACCTAAAACACATGTCAACTTGTATCAGTGTCAATCTGGAGTAAAGGGAAAAGCAGGTAAAATGCAGGCGCTTAGAGACGAAGGAGTAAAGCAGCAGCTCTCTGTCTCGTCTTTAGGGAGTAGCGCAGTCCCTTATGTTAATCAGTGGGTGTCTGCCACATTACTGTTTAACAGTTATTTGTTGTTTATTATTTGCCTATGTTTATCCTTTCGCTGGTGTTCATGGGAAAGAAAGACAGGGATCTGGGATAGGTTGGTCCGTGTGTGGAGGTCACGGGACAGTCCACGGGAGAGCAGATTCTCTCCTTCCACCACGTAGGTGTCGGGTTAGGCTTGGTGGCAAGGCCTTTACCTGTTAAGCTACTTCCTGCCCCTGCTTCACACTCTTGGTGATGCAGTCTAACACCACCTGATATGGAAAGGAGGGTGACACAAGAGGGCACCACGTCTAACATACACTTTCAAATACAACTGTGATGGATGATATTTAAGGGCACGGTCAGAGAAGGAATCACTGTCTACCTCAATCTTCTCCACCTTAATTTCTAACACATGGGTCTCTCACAGGGCCTAGAATTTGAAAATTTGGCCAGACTGGCTTGCAACCAGACCTCAGGGCCCCTCCTGTCTCTGCCTCCCCAGCACCGGAATCACAGGAGGGCTCGGCTGCCGTGGGCTTTTCTCAGGATGCTAGAGACAGAACTCAGGGCTTCATGCTTGGACATTAGCACTTTATGGAAGGACACAACTCCTAAGCCCCTTATTCGTTTTATTTTAAAAATACGTATAACTTCAATAAAAATGTTATTAATATTCATCTTTAAATTAATAAGGCAGAAAAATGGACTTTCCCAGTTACAGCCTTGGTTCCCACCCCATACAAGAGTGGGGATCTGCCAATACCTCACTGTTAACAGCACATGAGAACGTCTTAGCTGCAGCAGACTGGAAACGTAGTCTCCTGGCTACCAGCCCTCACTCGCCTTCCTTTCTGCAGTGACTACCATACACGGAAGGCTCAGCTTCTGGCAGATCCCCTTTCTCAGGTTCCATGCCTAAAA